TGTTATACACTCAAGAAATTAAGTAAATTTCGTGTAACAACTTTTTTTTTCATATAATATTTTCTACAACATACAGTACCTGGAAGAGGACAAAACAATTGAGAAACAAAAGTAATAATTGTTGATTGATTGTATTTATTTGAATTCAAATAAAATCAATATTTATTTCTTCTTAATCATACATTAGTCATGTAAATAGATTATTTTCATCTTTTGTTGATGACGATAGCGAAGATGATTATTCAGAAGAAGAAAAAGATGACGATGATGATATCGATAAAGATATTATAGAATTAGTATGAAGTTTTTTTATATTACTATTATTATTGCTGTTATCATTATTATCATTTTTTAATTAATTTATATTTGTATGTGCGTGATCAGAAAATAGATGAAAATGATCAAGAAATTTTTGATAAATTTACATCTAAAACGCCAAAAGAAAGTAAAACTTTGTCAGATATTATAATGGAAAAAATTGAATCACAGCAAAATTCGAAAAAGCAAATGTCTTTAGGTTATTAAAAAATTTTCCAAATAGCATTAAAAAAAATATAACGAATTCAAAATATATTTAAATGTTTTATCATTTCAGATAAGGAATCATCATCAACTGTGAATCCAAAAGTTGTTGAAGTTTACTCAAAGTAAGTATATTATTTACGTTTATATATTTATAAACCTATTAATTAGATAGTATGCCTCTTAGGCAGATGCGAATATGCATCGAAGGAAATAAATATAATAAATTTTTTATATTAATTTGTTCAGAGTTGGTACTTTGTTAAGTGGGTATAAATCTGGTAAGATTCCAAAAGCCTTCAAAATTATTCCATCACTACCAGATTGGGAGGATATATTATATCTCACAAAACCTGAAAATTGGACTCCACATGCAACATTGCAGGCAACTCGTATTTTTGTTTCTAATCTGAGTGATAAACAATCTCAAAGGTATTTATTTATTTTATGAACTTTTGCATAACATATATAGGCTTAAATATATAACCTATATATATATATATATATATATATATATATTATTTGGTAATTAGATTTTTTGATATTGTACTTTTGGATAAAGTTCGTGATGATATAAAAGAAAACAAAAAACTTAATCCTCATTTATATATGGCATTAAAAAAAGCTTTATATAAGCCAGCTGCATTTTTCAAAGGAATTTTGTTTCCATTGTGTGAGGTAATTATAAATTTATCATTATGATTATTGCTATTATAATTAATATTACAAATGCATATAAACAACGCACGCACATATACTACATATACATTTATTATAGTCTGGCACATGCACATTAAAGGAAGCAGCAATTGTTGGTAGTGTAATATCTAAAGTTAGTATCCCGATGCTTCATTCTTCAGCTGCACTATTACGATTGGCAGAAATGGATTATACTGGTCCCAGCAGTTTATTTATTCGCATTTTGCTTGATAAAAAATATGCATTACCATACAAAGTTGTAGATGCTTTGGTATTTCATTTTGTTAGATTTAAAAACGATGAAAGGAAAATGCCTGTATTATGGCATCAATCTTTTTTAGTATTTGCACAAAGGTAATTTTAATTTTTTTGAGAGTTATTATTATTTTATTGTTGTTATATTATTAATTATTAATTGCTAATTATGTTATTTTTAAAAGATATAAACAAGATTTGACACCAGAGCAGAAAGAAGCACTGTTTGATGTACTTAAATCTAAATTGCATGAACAAATCACACCTGAAATTCGACGAGAAATTGCTAACTCTGTTGCTCGTGATGAAATCATCCAAGATGTAAAAATGGAAATAGTTTAGTTGTCATAAATAATTCCTAGTATTAGTTCCATCTTATAATTATGTATTACTTTTTTTATTTAATTTAAACGATTTACAATAAATGATAATTACAAAGTTGATCTACATTGGTTGCTCAAATATTTTTGATATTATTCCAAGATTTATAAATAAATTACATATTAACAAAAAAGAAGATATGAGTTCAGGACTTCCTTGGTACCTATCATGCACATACACTTACATGTGGTTTTTCTTAAAAAATTAAAACGCGTGTTTTTAAAGTCTAATAATTACTTTAATATATAAATTCATATAAAAAGGCTTGAAAAATATCGACCAGTAGTTTTAGATGATATAGTTGGAAATGAAGATATTGTTGAGAGGCTGAAGGTGATTGCAAATGATGGTAATATGCCACATATGCTTTTATCTGGAGCACCAGGTGTTGGTAAAACTACTAGTATTTTATGTCTTGCGCGTGCATTATTAGGAGATCATTATAATAATGATGCTGTGTTGGAACTAAATGCATCCGATGATAGGTAGAAAAATAGATTTGATTATTATTATACAAATTTTATTATTATTTTCTTATCCTTTATTGCATTTGTTATTATTTAGAGGTATTGATGTTGTTAGAAATACAATCAAAACATTTGCTCAAAGAAAAATTAATTTACCAGTTGGTAAACATAAAATTATTATATTGGATGAAGCTGACTGGTAATAATAATAATAATAATTATCATTATTAACCTTAATATAAATTTTTAAATAAATATTAATCACTTTATTCTTTTTTAGTATGACAATTGGTGCACAACAATCTCTTCGTCGTATTATAGAATTATTTTCAAAGACAACTAGATTTGCACTTGCATGTAACATATCAAACAAAATTATTGAACCAATTCAAAGCAGATGTACTATATTTAAATTTAAAAAATTAACAGATGATATGATCGAAAAAAGATTATTAGAAATTTGTAAACATCAAGATGTAAATATATTTACTATAATAATAATAATTATTAAATTTATCATAATTTACTATATTTTTCTGATTATCTTGCACTGTATTAAAATTTAGGTAAAATATGTTCCTAAAGGTATTGATGCAATCGTATTTACATCAGAAGGTGACATGCGACAAGCTATCAATAATTTACAGTCAATTTTCAATGGATTTGGAATAGTTACTGAAGAGAACGTCTATGTGAATTGTGATGTGCCACACCCACACTTATTAGGTGAAATTCTTGATGATTGTTTAAATGGAAATGTATCAGAGGCTATGGATAAAATGACAAACCTTTTACATAAGGGACATAGTGCTGAGGGCATTGCCACTACTCTGTTCAGGGCATTAAAGACAAAAAATGAAATAAACGAAGCAATGAGATTGGAAATTATATTTGTAATTATTTGTTGTATATTCTCCTCTCCTTACTTTTCTTCTCACAAATTTAATTCACTAATATAATATTATTGAATTAATTAATTAATGATTTATAGGAAGTTGGAACGGCACATAGGAAAATTTTAGAAGGTGTAGCAACAGAAATCCAACTTTTAGCATTGATTGCAAGAATCTCCAAGATAAACAAAAGATTGAAAAAAATTTAATCTGTCAGTTTCTGACAAAAATTATAATTCTGCTAATTGGTATCACTAACCTGTATATAATATAATAGATGAGAATGTAATATGAGGCAGCCAATAAAAAAAGTCATTTAAAAAATTAATTCATTTTTTCTTTATTTCTTGTATATATATTAAATAATAAAAGTATAGTAATAGCAATTACTAAATGTCATCTAACATTTAATGTTATTTTACTTGTTGCACAGTGGACATTGATAGGTAAAACTATTTAAAAATATTTCATATTATTTTGGAAATGATACATAATCTTTTAATTCCTTTTTTTTTTTTTGAGTAGTTTAAGGATTAAAAGGGATATGCATTAATTATTGATGATAATATTATATTAGCATGTTTCTAACGGTGCGACTCATAATCATATTTTCTTTATCTTCATGTGCAGGTAAATATTTTATTAATTTTTTAATAATAAATTTTTAATAGGTTATTAACAAATGGCAAAATTATTTACCGGCTAGGAGAGACTCCCATTGGATCTTTTCGATATTTAGAGTGCGTTGAAGTGTTGATTAGTATATATTGACTGGCGTTAATTGTTTGTGTATGTCGAATATTAATTGATACCATTATTTATGGAATGATTGATGCCAGATCTTGATGGAACTGATTTCTCTTTTTGAACGTTGGCAATAATAGTTTCTTCTCTCAATAATTTATCTGAATTAATGTTATGTAGTAGATTCAGGTTTATTGCTATTATTCTTTTTCTTAAGGCTAGCTTTAAGTAGATTTAATTTCCTAGTAAAATCTGTTTCAACAGATAAAACATCATCCAAAAACGTTGTATCTAGAATAGTAATTATATGAGGTATAATCTGTGTTTTTTTTTGTTTTATTATTGTCAACGTTGTTGTCATTAGGCTTTGATGAGCAAGAAGACGTTTTTTTCGAATTAGAAGAGTTTAAGCTATTATATTGTTACAGTCAAACGGATGCAAGTAAATTTCAAAATTAATAAACTCGTCATAATGAATTTTTAGCATAAAAGAAATTAGTTGAAATCGGTACATGATTTATATTTATTTTGGATGAAGAACCTGATAGCTCATCATCAATAATTACAAGAGAATATGTATTTGTATTTATCTATACCCCCCAACTTTATTACTTTCAACAAAACCTGGTCAGTTTGATGCATATATGACTGATTTTATTTGCAAGACAATTCTTGACATAAAAATTTTAATTAGGCATTGCATCTTATGGGTAGTAGAGATTTGACTTTTGGTGGCCAAAGGCCAATTTGGTAAAACCAGTATTGGATATCAAAAAAAAAAACAATAAACTATTTAGTTGGTTAATTAATTTTTATAATATTTATTAAACCAAAGACAAAATAATAATAAATAATTTAAGCAATTGGATAATCTTTTAATCTATATAGAAGAACTTTGCCTTTATCATTGCCGACAGCTAAATAACCACTAGCAGGTGAAAAATCAAAACATTGAACATAACTTAATGGAGTTGAAAAAGTTGGCCAATTCGGAAATGCATTAAGAGATGGTAAATGAAACTAATGCATATATAAAATAAATATATATTAAAGTTATATAAATAAATATAATCATAATCAAAATAAATATTACCATTTTTAATTGATCTTTCTTTGAATGACTAGAAATCCCTAATATTTGTGTATCATGATTAAATTTCATATCGTGGATACAAGTTGTCAAATTCATAAAAGATTTCAAAGGTTTTGGTTCTTTAATGGTTAAACATGATTTGTCATAAATGTTTACAACACCAGTATTTGATCTGTGTGATGTTTTAATAAAAAAAAATTTTTTTTTTTTTTGTTAATAATGATATGGATTGTATGTATATATATATATTATTTATATATATATTTAATTCCAACATAAAAAATAAAATTTTTTACCCAATAGAATAATAACAATCATTTTTTGATATGGATATTCTTGTAGGTTTAAAACCTCCATAATCCAAAAAACGATAAATACATTTTCTCATACCAACATCCCATTGATAAATTTCAGCATCACTGCTAAGAGAAAATAAATATTGACCATTACTAGACCAATCAATTGACTTTACTAAACCATTCACTTTCAAACTGGTAATCCATTGTTTTGTCTTATAACTTATCAATGCTATGTATCCATTCTTTCCGGCAAATGCAATATATTTTCCACATGGTGATATTGAAAAATTCTCAAGTGATTTATCTTTAAATCCATGAATATCTCTAGGTCTTTCAATCACATCACTTTCAATATTATAAATATAATAGTGTTTTTTTCTACCTGTTACTACAATATCTTCACCACTTGGATTAAAGGCTGCATTAAATATTGGTAAATCTTTAAACATTGTTGATTGAATTTTGGGATTTATTTTACCATCAATCTGTCAGGAAAAATAAATAAATAAGACAATTATTGTGAATGTTATTTATTTATTTATTATTATTATTATTATTATTATTGAGTTATGACAAAATGATAATAATGGTAGTAGTTAAATCCAACCTGAAACAATCTAATTGTCTTGTCTAAACCTGCCGTCATCAATACTTGTGCATTAGGATGAAAACTTGCTATTTCAATTACCCCCTTTAAAAAAAAAATTATTAATAAATAGTTAAAGAATTAATAAATAGTTAAAGAATTAATTAATTAATAAATAATAATAATAATAATAATAATAATAATAATAATAACTTTTGAATAATCTTGTTGATTTGCATTTTTCACTGTTACGATATCAAGTTTTTTATTTGATAATTTTTTTACACGATTATTATCATCACCAACATCATCAGCATCAGATATATTTGGATCTGACAGTTTTATTTTTTTATTTTTATCAGAGGAAATTTTTGAAGGAAGAGTTGCCCAATTAGGTGTTGGATTAAGTTTCTCAAACCTAAATTTATTATATATTTGTATTTTCGATGAAGTTTTAATTAAAAATTTATTTCAATAATAATATGAAACAATATGATCTTGAAAAAAAAGAAAAAAGAACATAAGCTATTTGAACATATGTTTTACTTCACTGATTTCTTAATCGCATTTCATATTGAGCACCCGATATCAAATCCTCTTCTTCAGTTTCACGTAATTTACGAATTTTACTTTGATTTTTCAAAGAAACAGTAATGTTTTCATCATCTGAATCTTGCCAAACGATTTTCTTTGATGACGAAGACGACAACGTTTCTTTTTTTGGGAGTTATTTAGCAATTAATTAATTAATTAATTTGACATCTAAAATTATTAAGAATCTATAACCAATTCATCATACCTTCATTAGCAATATCATTCTCCTCGCTGATATCATCATCATCATGATCGTCAAGTAATTTTTCATAATTTTTGGTGGGCGTTGGATCAATTGAAAATGATATTGGTTGTAAAGATGAGTCAGTTGAATTCTGTTATTTTTTAAAAATGTGTACGCGTATGTAAAGGTATAAACTTTATAAATTTAACACAAAATTCAAAATATAAAAGTATTCCGATAAATTACTTTCAATTCTTCCTCCTCCTCCTCCTCCTCCTCTTCCTCTTCCTCTTCACTTTCTTTCACTTTCTCCTCTTTATCTTTCACAACTTCTTCTTGTTCTGACTCATCAACTGAAGAATAATACTCATCTTTGTCTTTTTCTTTAATTGTTTCTTTTAATGCTTCATCGATTTCGTAATCGTCAAAAAACATTATTATTGATGATTATTTATCAAATTTTTTTTTAAAATTTTACTTTGATCTATTAATTGCGTAACCTAAAAATTTGATTATCTTTATTTGGTATAGATAGCCAAATATAGCTAGAATATTTGCCAGAAAAAAAAAGATGTCAAAATTTGTCAAAGATCACCAAATAAATGAATGATTGCATCAACAACTGAACTTTTTACGAGAAGGATTAACAAATTAGAACAGCAAAAGGTGAATTAGATGTACTGTATTGTTTACGTCTCTTACTTTGCTTTATCCAATTTTAACTTTGCTGTCAATTTATCCACATATCTGCTTCCTTTTCCACATCATTAGGAAACTAAAACTTTCGTAAACTTACGCCAGTTTCCATTGTTTATCACAAATATAATTTGGTTAATCTTTATATGTGGATATTCGTCAGGAGTTTACAAGTGACTTTAAAGTGTATCTAGTCCCCCAATTTTTGTAAAAATGATATATTAGGTAAGGCTTCCTTCACTCACGTTTACTTACAAAGTTAAAAAATACAATGCTGATCGATTGTCACAAGAAAAACTTTGTTCAATAAACGTGTAAAATTAAATATTGATTTATCAATGATAAAATAAACACTACCGTTTCAGTAGGAGTTAAAAAAGGTGTACCAAAATGATAAAATTATTATAGACGATGGATGATTTAGTTTTGGATTTTTGGATATGTTATTAAATTTAATTCAATTCAATTATTCAGGCCAATAAATGATTAGATGACTGACTGTGCTATTCTGAAAGGAATTAGAAAAGCGATACTTAGAATATGCTTAAAATATACTTTTTTCAATAGTGGAAAATTTCAAATATACTTTGTATAGCATTTCAACTACCTTTCAAGTGTATTTCAATGAATAAGTATGTTTTTAGTATAGTATTACACGCTCAAAACATACTTAAGGCATCCACCAAATATTTTAAGGTACATTTTGAGCACATTTTAAGTACCTAAGCTTTTGTAGGGTAGCGTTTTGAACCTAAGGTAAGATTCTTGAAGATTGTAGTATATTTATGCTAAACAGCTCCAAGGAAACCGGCAACAATGAATAAAAGACAACATTTTACCCTTCCGTGAAAGTGTTAAATTGATCTGATGCTATTATCTGCTTTTTGGAAAAGAAAAGAAATTTGTGACTTGAAAATACGTACGAAAACTAAATCGCAGTCCAGTAGATTTTATGAATCTCAATAATGATAATAAAAAAGCAACAAACCCATATTATTGATGTAACACATAATCAAAACTATATACAATCCGAGAAATAAACAAATATATAAAGATCAAAAA